AAAAAAAAAAAAAAAAAAGAATCTTCAATACAGTTACTAGATAAATTTTCTATGTGAGTGGAGGTTTTTTATCTTTTGTTTTTTTTACAGGGTCTTGTAGTAGAGTCCAGGCTGGCCTTGCTTCATGATCCTTCTGCCTCAGCTTCCAGGATGGTGGGATTATCGATGTCTACCACCACACTTGGCCTATGATAGTCCCTTAATCCTAGTTTTAAATTGAAGTCTGGATATTATAGAAACACTGAATTATCACTCTCAGCTCAATTCCCTATATTCTATAACAGTTTACACACATCTTTTTGTTGTTATTTTGTTTTCCCAGTACCAGGGATCGAACTCAGGACCTTGTACTTGCAAGGCAGGTACAGTGCCACTGAGCTTGAATCCCCAGCCCCACATACATCTAACTTTATCAAATGAGTATTTGGCTGGTTGTGGTGGTGCACACCTGTTAATCCCAGCACCAGGAGATGGAGGAAGATCACTGCAAATTCAAGGTCAGCCTCAGTTACACAGTGAATTCAAGGACAGCCTGAATTGCACAGACAATGACTCAAAAAAAAAAAAAAAAAGTATAAAACCCAGTTTAGACTTGGAATGATAAAAAGTGACTGTGTCCTTCTTTCAATACTTTGACCAACCAGCAACAGGCTACACCATTAACCTAATTCTAACACTCAGTTATTTGTAAAATAAGATCATGTTCTCTGCACCCTCGGAAAGTAAATATTACTTGCACATTTTTATATACATGGAGATTGTTAGCTATATGAAGTTAATAATCATTACATGGATACGCCATTATCATAAATCAAGAACCTTCAACATCCATCCTAATGTTTCTTTTTTCTTTGAGACAGGGTCTCATTTTGTAGTTCAGGTGGGCCTGGAACACAATCTTCCTGACCCAGTCTCCCAAGTGCTGGGATTACAGATGTGTCACCATATCCGGCTCATCCATCCAAATGTGCTTGGAGAATTTGCACAGGAATGTGCTATTATAGCAAAGTAATGTCTGCTGGCAGCCAGTTGACAAAGAGAAACTCATCAAATGGCAGTATGCTGTTACTGAGCTCTAATTTTATCAGTGTGCCAACAGCTGATTATGCTTTGGGCTGCTGAGTCACTTTAACCAAACATAGAAGCCTGACCAAAATTTGCCATTTCCTCATTTATCAGGGATGACAAGGGGGTTGCATGGCAAAAAAGAAGTAGGAACAAAGATGGTCTGGTTTTGTGGATTTCAACTACACTCTGGGAAAGTCACATAAAATATCCTTGCCCTGTATCCAGCTGCTGTCTCAAGGAACCAGCATTATCTCTTTGGCCTACAAGTGGCCCTCTCCTATGGACTGTAATGGATTAAGAAGCCCTAGCAATTCTTTATTTTCTTTTTTCTAGGTTGCTAGCAAATTTCATCCCTGAAACATTTTGCTTTGAACAATGTATCAATAACTGGCCAGATTATTGCTTCATGCTCAATTCTATCAGTACAGACAGATTATAGCTTTTGACATTAATGTCATGACCAGATTTTCATTTTGGCAGTCACCTCGTAACTGATTATATTCTCCTCTTGCCATCTAAGTACAGATGATGGTTGGGTATCTGTTACTTTGCAAAACAGCTGTTCTCACCACTTTTTATCATTTCATTTCGCTCTAACCTTCCTGTCATCTTCTAGAGTCTAATGAGAGAAGTAATCTTAGAGTACGAAGACTGGTTTTCAAACTTTTTACCCCCCCTTTCATTAGTATGCATTTCTGTTAAATAATACAAATATTCATCTTGGGGAACCGGTACATATACACTTCGCATCTTGATCCTTTTTACTTCTCCCTTTCTCAAACTTTAAAAAAAAAAATCAGCATTCAGAAAAGTTTAAAAAATCTCTTATGAAGCATGAACTCCCTCATCACACACCCATCTCTCTACAGCCATTACAATCTGTGTTAGAATATGAAAAACAACCATCTTAGGTCAACCTTTCATCTTAAAATTGAGGAGAGAACTCAGAGACATGAACTGACTTGGAGATAGTAAGATATAAGTGATCCATCATCACACTCCATGGAAAAAGAGAAAAGCAGGCAAGAAAAGCCTGTCCAATCAATTCTTTCAGCATAAAGTTACCAGTATAAACATATTGAGATCATTTGTGTATTTACTAGATAAAAAGAATCTGCTATCAGGATAAACATGCTCAGTTTCTTTGTGAAAGGAATTTGTAAATAATAAACAGAATCATTCTAAGAAATATTTAGACTTTTTCAGATAAGAGACAACACAGACTATCAGAAGTATAAGCTGGGTTTGAGAAGCAAAAAAAAAAAAAAAAAGTCAGATCAGGCTTACTATACTAAAGATGCTGATGTCATGTCTGTAATTGGGCCATAATTTCAATTCGGCCTAATTCAAACCTTTAAACAATCTTGCTAATAACTGGCAATATTACTGCTTCATGCTCCTCCCTATGTAGTTAATTACACTTTTGGCATTAATGCCATAGACCAAGTTATAATTTTCGTGGGCACCTTATAATTTCAAATTTAGCCCACTCTTCCTTTCTATATAAATAGAGGCTTTATGCCCCAATTGCTACATGACCCAAATGAATAATTCAATGTAGTTTGGGGATCCTGATTTTCACTACAAGACCAAATAACCTCAAGGTGCTTTTGGGAACTTCAATCCTATGAAATACGAATTTTTTCAGGGAAAAGTCCTTATGGAAAGACTGTCAATTACATTCACAATGAAAACAAGGAATAAGAAAAACAATTCTAAGTGCATTTTAAGCCTGGAACTTCTACGGAATAAGGGAAAGAGCAACAAACCCGAACAGACGCAGAAAAATTGATTTCTAAATGTGTTCTCATCAAAAAACTGACAAAATTGAGCTTGGCGATCTACAGGTTTTCTCTTCGTAGTTCACGATGAAGGACAGTTCTAATGTGAAATAAAACTGATCCCCTTCACGATGAGGTAACTCATCTTAATTTTCTCCTCACCTTCTTGTAGAAGAAAATGGGGGAGCGGGGGAGAATGCCAGATTGGTCTAGACTAAGTCCTCAGTGAAGACTCAGGCCCTGAGGGCCAGGCTCTGTAAGTGGTAAAGAGACCACTTCGCCGTGTAATCCTATCTCAAAGGGCTCCGCGTCCAAACAGCTTAGAACCCTGCCTGTTAATGTTACAGCTAAAGACGACAACAACCCACCTTGGTCATCTGCTTTTCTGGGCTCACAATCGACCAGGGCAGTCTTTCGGCCTATCCTAATCCCTCCCAGTTGCAGGGTAAAGCCCAGCCCTCCTTCCTCCCGACCTTGGGGTGACAAGAGCTCCTGCCTAGCGCCCTCACAGGCACCTTAAGGGGATCCCTCTCCGGATCAGACATTCCTCCCATCCCCCCAGCCGCCTAAATGTAGGACAGGGACGCTTCAGCGCCAGCGTCTCTTCCGGAACCAAAAAGACCTCATTCCTAATAGGCAAAGACAGAAAGAGAAAAAGATGGAAAGAGGGGAGACCTGAACCCCGGAAAGTCACGTCTCTGGCCAACTACAGGGGCCAGGTAACCGCTCACTCGCGCATCCCTCTACTCTCCGCGTCAAACCGCCGAGCCGCGCAGACGGAGCACCGCAGGACCCAAGCTTCCCGGAGCCCCGCTTCGCGCACCCCCTCAGCGCCATCCCCAGATCTTTGGGGGAGAAGCCGGGCAGGAAACGGGTCCCTTCCCTCACCTGGGGCGGAGGCGCTCGCTCATCGCAGCTGGTGGAGAGAAGCGACTAGGCGCCGCTCCGCGCGAAGAGTGAAGTGAGGGTCTTGCTTTCAGGCTGCCGCCACGCCCACCCCCCCGGGCCTTTGCTCTTGCAGCCGCGTGGGTGGACGCGGCCGGCGGTGAATACCCCCTGCTCGGACCCGTACCACTGCTACTTCCGGCGTCTCCTCCGCGCCCCACCATGTCACAACCGCCTTGGTACCACCCTCTTGCGCCTGCGCAGTCGCGCGACGCCGGCCGCGCCGACCGGTAACCCCGCCCACAGGAAGAGGCGGGTTCCGAGAAAAGGTGCGACTGGAGCTTCTGGAAGAGAGGACCTCCGTGGGGGTGGCTTACGCATTTGCCTGTTCACAGCCAAGGCGAGGCACAGTGTAAAAGCCAATCTAGGCTTAAAATAATTTAAATTACGTCACATTAATTGATGCAAGCATTTGAGTTAAATCCCTGCGAGGTAACAATAGAAAAGAACGAGGTGAGCCTTGTCAGGCAGTGGTGTGGACATCCTGCCGTGTGGGTCCAGGGATCGGGGGTTGGGAAGGCGCTTGTGGGCTTCGAGAGTTTGGCTCGGGGTTGGTGGGCTGTTTAGATTTCTGAAGGTGCGGAAGCGGAGGGCTGCGCTGTGAGTTTCACAGGGCGGGGCCGTTTCCCTCAGACCACGTTCTAGGTCCCGGAGAAACTTCCAAGGAGACCGGGGGGTGGAACGGCTATTTTGGAGCCCTCAGTAGGACTGCGAGGTGGCCGGACCCCCTCCAGGGCTGCTCCTCGGGCCGCCTTCCTGAACTTGGTCCATTCTAAGCAAAAAAAGAAGGGCGTGGAGGAGGGGGAGAAAAAGTGTGTTGGCCAGAGCAGGAGATGAGTGTGAAGATTAGCAAAGCTGAGACTGTCTGGTGTTGGGAGGCTGGGGAAGTCTTAGCTCGATGCTTTCTGGAGCATCTCCTGGAGCTGAAATGCAGATAGCCCAGTTACTTTTGGTTTCAGCAGTGTGCCACATTTGGCCACTGCGCGTTGCTGTCCAGTTATCTCTCGTTTTGTCTAACACAGGCTAACGTTAACTCGGGAACCATGATCAGAAAGCACGGGGATCCAGGAGAACCAGCAGCAAAATTAGCATCCTCCTAGAGGAGCGCGGGTAAGAAAAAAGTTTTAAAATGTTACTGTCCAGCCGGGCGTGGTGGCGCACGCCTGTAATCCCAACACTTGGGAGGCTGAGGCAGGAGGGTCGCTGTGAGGATCAAGACCAGCCTGGGCTACATAGTGAGTTCCAGGTCAGTCTCAACTACATAGTGAGACCCTGTCTCAAAAAAAAAAAAAAAAAAAAAAAGATGTTACTGTCCAAATCTGCAGGCATCTTTCCTGTAGGATTAAGTATGCGGTGGAGTGCTGTACAGTCAGAATCGTGGAAAGGAGATATTAGCCCTTTCTAAAGTCAATAACAAAAGGGCCATGGACGCTCAAGAGTTGCAGATTGTTTTGGAATTCCCCTCAGGCTCAGGCGTGCTAGGCAAGAGCTCTACCACTCAGCTACATCCCCAGTGGGGTTTTTTGATTGTTTGGTTTGGGAATTTTTGTTTTGTTTTTGCTGGGGTTTCTTGTTTGCTTGTGTGTTGCTTTTCTCTCCTTGCTGAGACAAATGCTCGACACCCATAGTTAGAGGGGAAGGAGTAGCTCACAGTGCATACAGGTTTCCGTCCATAATCCTCTGGCACCAAGGCAGGGTCGGCAAACAGGCATCTCAGCAGAAACAACATGGCTCACACAGGGTAGCAAAGGGAAACAGTTCATGGCAGCAGAAGACAGCGCAAAGCAACAAGGGACCTTAACAGAGTCTTTCTGCCTCTTTCATTTTATTCAGACTACTTAGGGCAGGTAGCACTCACACCCTCAATCCTAATGCCCTTGGGCCTAGCCCCACCAGCAGTCAGTCACACTCTAGATTCAGCTACCTCCAAAATAGCCTATAACCACATGAGGCTTTGGGGGAACATCTAGACACAAACCATTGTTGGTTGGTTTATTTTGTTTTTTCTCCTTTTTTGTGGGGTGTGGGGGGACATGTTCTAGCAAAGTTGTCCAGCCTAGCTTCAAACTTGGATCCTCTTGACTCAGCCTCCTGAGTAACTGAGTGCACAAATGTGCACCACAGCACCTGGCTAATTGTATTTTTGTAAGTAAATGGTCTGTAGTTCTCATCATAATGTATATGTGTATCTCCGAAGAATAATCACTGTGAACTATTAGCAAAAAAAATGGTTTTGTTGCCAGGCATGGTGGCAGGAGGATCACTGAGTTCGAGACCAATCTGGGCTACATAGTGAGTTCCAGTTCAGTCTCAACTACATAGTGAGTCCCTCTCTCGAAAAAGAAAACGGTTTTGTTTTGCATAGCTTCCCTTAGGATAAAGGTGAATTGCTTACTTTGGTAAATGGTTACAGTATTTTTTGTAAATGGATTCAAAGTCTCCTTTTTGATCTGTTTAATAGGAGACTCTCAGTTATGGCACTGTACAATTATAATAGTTGCACCTTTATGGTTGGAGAAAGAATTCATTCAACAAATATTATGTGCCAGGCTCAATGGTAGATTTTGAGAATACAGCTGTGTACAGGGTACGTATGTTCCCTGCTCTCTAGAACTTTATAGCAACAGTAAGATTTTTTTTTTTTTTTTTTTGTTTTTTTTTGGTTTTTTTCGTTTTTTTGAAACAGGGTCTCACTATGAACTCAGAGCAATCCTCCTCCCTCAGCCTCCCAAGTAAGTGCTGGGATTACAGGCATGTGCCACCACACCCAGCAAGAAATAATTTTAAGAGAGTTGAGTTTGGGTTTTTTTTTTTTTTTTGTTTTTTTTTTTTTGGTACTGAGAACTGAACTCGGGTCCTTGCATTTGGGAGGCAGGTGGCTGCATCACTGAACTAAATCCCTGGCCCCCAGTGGATATTTCTTATAACACTTTGGAAACCTCTACTTTAATGAAGAATCTTTGGATATAAGCCTGAGTTTATTCTTCACCATTCCATCCTTGAATGAAATGTTTAAGGCTTTTAAAACATGAATATAGTTGCTTTATATTCATGGGCATTAGTCACCTTCTGTCAGTGGGATGAAGCATGTGACATACACAGCTTAAAGGAGGAAAGATTTATTATGGGTCATAGTTTCAGAGGTTTTAGTCCATGATTAACTGACTCAAGACAGAAACGTCATAGTGGAGGGGCATGGCAGAAGAAAGCTGGCAGCCAAAAGTAGAGGAGAGGGAGAGCAGGCAGAAAGCCAGAGCGAGAGCTGCCCTGCAAGAACATGCCCCCAGTGAACCATTCCTTCCAGCTGAACCACATTTTCTAGTAGCCCATTTAGTTATGAATCATCAGTGTGTTGATCCATTGATAAGGTTAATGTTCTTCTCATCAAAACACTTTTTTTTTTTTTGGTACCAGGGATGGAGCTCAGGACCTTGTACATGTGTGGCAGGCAGCAGCACCAATGAGCTAAATCCCCAGCCTGCAAATATTTTATTCTTCCTATTTATCTTCATATCAAGCTCTGTCTGTTGTTTTCTACCTTTATACAAAAAGTATGGACCAAAGCCAGTTTTAAAATTGTATTTAACCTGGGTTGTTTGAAATGAATATAAAATATTGGCTTGTACCGTTCATTATCTTACATTTACCTTTTTCAGGAAGAGAATGAGTGATACTCAGCCCAAAATGGAAGTATGTCCTTATTGTAAGAAGTCATTTAAACGATTAAAATCCCACTTGCCATACTGTAAGATGATCGGAACAACCATACCTACTGATCAAACAATCTCTCGGTCAAAGCCATCTACCCATCCACGTGCCAAAAAAGTAAAGGAGCTGATCAGAGACTTAACTGAAACCGAAGGGAAAGAGTTTAGGACAAAGAGTGAGGAAAGAAATGCGAAATTGAGACAGGACAAACCAGGACAAACAATTGCTTCCTGTCCACAACTAGCTGTTGGCTTGGAAAGAGCAAGTACTACAAAGGCAGATAAAGATATAAAGGATCAAAATCGGCTCACCATCAAAATGTTAAAACACACTGAACCAAAGATTACTTTCCAAGGAGAAACTAAAGCTCAGTTTTATGCATCTAATGACAATTCTAAAAGAGAACTTGCTAAAGGTGTGTCTGTATCAGAGAAAAGTAGATGTAATCCTTCAGAAACAGAAGCACTGTTACTGGCTGGCTCAGTGGAACCTTCTTTGTTGAATCAAGATAGAAAATATTCCTCGCCTGTACCTAATGATGCACAACAAGCCTTATCTGCAAATTTGAAACTGGACACAGTTGACCCCCAAAGACAGGGGCTTCTAGTAAAATTACTAGATATGCCTACTGGTGATCACCATCAGTCTCCAAGGAATCTCACTGATAGGGTTCAAAAATTAACAGCCGCAGTGTTAAGCAAGGAGAGAGATTCCAGAGGCAGAGGTCACCTCCCAGGAGTCTTCACTGGTGTTGAAGACGCTGAGGGTCAGAAAATGAACTTAGAATCACTCACATTAGACCTTCACATTAGCCCTTTAGCTAAAATCCAAGTTGAGAATGAAGAAAAAAGACTTGGTGTTGGAGTAAAGGGGTGTGGGAGCAAAGGAGATGCAGAGAAAAGTAGATTTGCAACAGAGATGCGCAAGTGGGATTCTGTGAGCCATGGCTCCAAGAACTGTGGCTTTGGTGATTCAGCCACAGAAGAGAAACTGGAAGGCGAAGGTCCACTTTTAAATGTGTTCACTCCACAGGAGGCAGCTCACACTGAGTTTCTTCGTGTATTGCAGTCAAATAATCAAAGACCTGCCTCTCTGGCTGTGGAATCTGTTCAAGAAGAGAAAGCACAAATCTGCAGTCATAATCAAGCCCCTGATGTAAAGTTATTAAGGGAAAGTAAGGAACAAGAATCTCTGGAGCCCAGATCTGGCTGTCAGCCCCAGGCTTTGCACTCTAGGTGCCAGAAGTCATCATCTGCCCAGCATCACCTTTCTAAAAGCACCTTCATTAATCATGTTGGTGCCACAGACAGAAAGAGCCTTCCTGGCTCCATTGGGTTGGAATGGTTTCCAGATCTTTACTCTGGTTACCTTGGACTAGGAGTGTTGGCGGGGAAGCCTTATTATTGGAATGCAGTGGCCCAGAAGCCTCAGCTCACCGGTCCTCAGTGGGGAAGTCTCTCCCAAGGTAAAGCTCAGGGGCAACCTAGCCCATCCACAATGCTTTGTACCTTTGGAATATGGGTTAGAATACTAATATTTTCATTCACTTAGCTTATTTTTTTGTAGGCATTATGAAAGTCCACTGGACTTAACAATTGCGAAAACATTACTTCTTGTTCCCAAGATCAGTACTTGGGGCACTGGGGGTTACTTGGGGTTAAGTAGATGGGTATTCAAACTGAACAAACTCAGAAAAAGCACAAAGACTTCAAAATTCATTCAGGCCCAGATTAGATAAATATGTACCAGGTTTATGATAAATTACAACATCTAGAAGTGTAGAGTAGCAGAGAAGGTACAAGCAGAAGGTGTTTGTGGAGTTGGGGGTAGGACAGGTTAAAACTGGCTGGGTAAAAATGGTAGTTGAGACAGGTGGAATTGGAGCCTGAGGAGATAAACTAGTAAAGGTCAAGGACCAGAAATAAAGAAACAGAGGATATGTCAAAGAGGGTATAGAAATCTGTGCACTGGAAGAACCGGGCCACAGGATTTAGGACTCAGGAACAGAGCCAGAGATTGAGCCTTGAGACATGAAAGATTGCATAAGAAGGACTTGGAGAGACTGGGCATTGAAACTGATCTCGATTGTCCATCTATCTTCAGAAGCTTTTATGGTCCTGGCAGGTTGCTAAAAGAGGTGAATGAAAGAAAGTTCCTGATAGGCATTTCAAGCATAGTAGTCTCACTTTTTTCTGCTGAACCTTATCTTTAGTACTGAATTACCTCTCTAGTAATAATACACAAAGTTTAGTCATTTTGCTCACTGGGAAGCTTGGTGGGGGGGGTGGGATTTCACTTTTTTGAGAAGACTAGGGACATAAAGTAGCACTTTGGAGTAGTGGTTGTTGCTGCTTTCAAGCTTACTTTGACAGGATACCTATGACAACTCAATTGGTTTGCTCCTAAAAAGCTGACCTTCCTAAAAGGAAAAATTTTTTCCTTTCTAGTATATTTTACAAATGATCACACATTCCCTAAGCCCCCTCTGTCTGTTCTCAAAAGCACTTTCCCCTTTTTAATTTTAATTTTTCTCCCGACTCCCAGCCCAGTACTGGGAATTGAACCTAGAGCCTTGGTACTGAGCTACAACCCTGCCTGTTTTTATTTTTTATTTTGAGATAAAATCTTGCTAAGTTCCCCAGCCTGGGCCCAAACTTGGCAGTCCTCCTGCTTGAGATACTCTGGAATGTTAAAGCAGAAGAACTGCAAATTCAAGGCCAGCTTGGACAACTTAGTGGGACCTTGCTTAAACTAAAAACTTTGAAAGGACTGGTGGTGTAAGGTCAGTAATAGAGAACTTGCCTGGTACATATGAGGCCCTGTCTTTAATTCCCAGTACCTCATCAAAAAGCATTTCTTGGGCCAGAGATTTAGCTCAGTGGTTCTGCCGCCTACCTCATAAGCGCAAAGTCCCGAGTTCAATCCCTGGTACAAAAAAAAAAAACCCAGTTGACTGAAGAAGGATGACAAGTTCAAAGAGCCACAAGATTCCTGACACTGCTGACAAAGCAGTTGCACAGTCGCAGGTTTCATGCGGTTACAAGGTTTACTGTCAAGAGACCAACCTTCACCTTGCAAGAGGTGATCTATGTAATTTTTTGAAAATCAGCATAGGTAATTGTTATTAATATAATGATCATTTGGTTAGTATTTTTACATCCACAGCAACTTCTGTCACACCTGCTAAACCTGTCAACAGTAATTGTATAAGTTATCCCTTTTTCCAACAAGACAAACCAAGACCAGAAAACCACTGATAATAGAGCTTATTTGCCTGTCATTAATATTGAAAAAATGAGGGAGATTAGTTTTATCCCCTTTCATTATTTTTAGTTTTAATTTTTATTTTTTATTTTTTTGGTACTGGGGATTGAACTCGGGACCTTGTGCTTGCGAGGCAGGTGGTGGCACTACTGAGCTAAGTCCTTGGCCTAGCCCCTTTTATAGATAAGGAACCTGAGTCCCCAGTGCCAAAAACAACCATAAAAGAATGAATTCATTTTTTCTCTTTAAAATATTTACCTTGAGCCTGGTAAGCGCAAGGACCAGAGTTTGATCCCCAGTAACCCCCTCCCCAATTTGGTTTTGGTTTTGGTTTTTTTTACTTTAAGACACAAGGGTATTGCTGAATCGTCTGGACTGCACTGGAACATGATATCCTCTTGCTTTAGTCTTGCCTCTTGCTGGTCTCACAGGTGTACACCAATGACACTTGGCTAAGAATTTCATTCTTAGACTTGGGTTCCATCCACAAGATAACTCATTCTTTATATATATGCAAATACTGTAATTTTTTTAAAACCCCTAAATCTTGAAGACTGGCCCCAAGCATTTCAGGTGAGGGGTACGCAGCCTAAAGTACAAAGTCATGCTTTTTGCCAAAATGTTTCACAGCTGGTAGAACTTAACATTTGATTCATTTGGTTAAGTATGTGCACACAGATCAGAGGATCTGGACAGTGTATTCATTAATCAGAAATAAATACTGGCTCCTGATTGCCAAGGGTTCCCTCAGTCATAAAGGTTTTTTGTTTTGTTTTGTTTTTGACATAGAAGATTTAACTGTCAATGCTTAGTTAAAATTCAATACAGAGATTGTAATCCCCCTATTTAGAATATACTTTTCCTGGGGCTGGGGATTTGGCTCAGTGGTTCCACCACCGGCCTTGGCAAGCTCAAGAACCCGAGTTTGATCCCCGGTACCAAAAGTTAGATAGATATAGATAGGCAGATAGGTAGGCAGAGAGAGAGAGAGAGAGAGACACACACACACACACACACACACACTTCCTGAGGCCTAGCGATGGGAAGCTTCCAGCTTCCTTACTGAATGTTGGGGAAGGGGGTGAATTTCTGTGAACTATCATAGTGACCTCTGTTTGGAGCCTTAGTTCCTTTGGTGGAAAGAAGTTCAACTGATCTAAGGATTTGAGAACCCCCAACCAGGCTTACAACCTCCAGCTTCCCTCTAATGAAGCTCTTGGGAACTGTGCAGAAAGTTGAGGCTGGAGTTACTGACAGTTGGGTTCCGTTGCTGGCTCGAGGCATTTGGAGAAGCTTCTCTTACCACATAGGCTGTTAAAAGTGAGGAGAAGGAAAAAAGAATAATGGTGGTTGTCTTCAGTTTGTTTTCATTTTGTAGTTGGGCATGATTAAAAGCACCAAAGCTAATATAGCAGCATCTACCATTTGTTGGGCAACTTTTAATTTTTAACCCCCATACCTGACTGTCCCACCACCTGTCCCCAGACCTCCCTGCCTGTACTGCTCATGCCTCCCAAAGCCAGGAGGATGCCAAACCTCAGTTTAACCAGTTGTATTCATCTATCCCTCTACAGATTTTAACCCACCTCCCAAACACAAGGATAAGTAATTTGAATCTGTTAAAGTCTTCTGAGTTAGAATTCCATCACCCAAGCTACGTGGGATGACTTCATTAACATAGGTGATGGCTACATTCTGGGTCACTGTGACAGTGAGACATTTCTTTTTGGACAGGCTGGATCCGGTGCAGCACCACCCTAAAGAAGAGTGGAATTGGTAGCATCACGATGCTCTTTACTGGATACTTCACCCTGTGCTGCAGCTGGAGCTTCAGACATCTGAGTAAGCCTTTTATATTTTTAGCCTAAACTACAGGTCAACTCCCATTACAGGGACTCCAAGGGATTCTCCAAAAGGCCTTTCTTATTAGTTCTTCAGTGTCTGACATGACCTAGTGAATGAACTATTACCTGGGGCTCTTGGAGTTTTATTACAGGTTTTGTTCATAATAGCCTTCAGAAGATTTGACTAAAATTTACATAATTGCTCTTGTCCTCTATTTTATGTTATCACTGATGGCAGTGAAACTGAACAGCTTTGTACCACAAGAGAGGAGGAACAGAACACGGTTGTCATTCATTAATGTGTTAAGACTTATAGCTGTCTCAATCTGCTTCTGACAGTTACAAGCAAACACCCTTCCAAGTATGAGATTCAGCTTGTACTGTCTTAACTGGAAGGAAAATGCCTGAATTTAATGTTTTAGTTCAAGATAATTTTTAAGTATCATATATTACTTATGGGGGGTTGCCAGGGATCAAACTCAGCCTTTGTGCTTGTAAAGCAGGTGGCAGAACCACTGAGCCAAATCTCTGCCCCCTCTTAAGTATCATATTATAAAAACATCTAATTTTTTTTAAGTAGTTTATTGGAAGCTATCAAAAAATTCCAGCACTTT